CCATCTGTGGTTGGTTGAATCTATGAATATAGAACTTCCAGATGTGAAGGACTGATGGCATGTTTTTTGTTTTGAGTTTTTTATGTTATCTTTATTGTCTTTTTCCATTACCATTTAGTCCCCTTATACCTCTCTCCCCCCAGCAACCACCACACTGTTGTCCATGACCATGAGTCTTTTCTCCTCTTTGTTCAATCTGTCTATCCCCTTACCCCCCATCCCCTAGCTGTCATCTGCTCTCTGTCTATGAGTCTGTCTCTGTTTTGCTTGCTAGTTTAGTTTGTTCATTGATTCCACATATGAGTGAAATCATATAGTATTTGTCTTTCTCTTACTGGCTTATTTCACTTAGCATAATGTTCTCCACATCCATCCATACTGTTGCAAAGGATAAAATTTTCTTATTTTTTACAGCCAAGTAGTATTCCATTGTGTAAATGTCCCACAGTTGTTTTATCCACTCATCAATTGAGGGACACTTGGGCTGCTTCCATATCTTGATGATTGTAAATGATTCTGCAATGAACATAGGGTGCTTACGTTCTTTTAGATTTGTGTTTTGGGTTCCTTTGGATATATTCCAGGAAGTGGGAGTGCTGCGTCAAAAGGCTGGTCCATTTTTAATTTTTGGAAGTGTCTCCATACTGCTTTCTGCAGTGGCCATACCAGTTTGCATTCCCATCAACAGTGCAAAAAGGTTCCCCTTTCTAAACATCCTCACCAGCACTTGTTTGTTGATTTATTGATGATGGCCATTCTCACAAGTGTGAGATGGTATCTCATTGTAGTTATTTGCATTTCTCGGATGATTAGTGACATTGAGCATCTTTTCATATGTCTATGGACCATCTGTATGTCCACTTTAGAGAAGTGTCTCTTCAGGTCCTTTGCCCATTTTTAATTGGGTTTTTATTTTTATATTTTGGTCTTGAGTTTTATGTACTTTGATGGTTTGTTTTTGAAAAAGCTCTTTTAGTGGCAAAGTCTTTGAGTACTTAAGAAGCTGATTTTTGAGTACTTTGAGTACTGACTTTTCTCTTAATAAGGCTCATCATTATTCAGTGTTGTGAGGTTAACATTTGCTTACAGGTTTATGCCTTTGCCTCTTAACATCAGTGGGCAGGTTGGCAGACTGGAAGGGATACTGAATTATCAGCGATGATGGGGGATTTCAGGTCCTCTCTCTACTCTTAACAGTTTTGTGTCTCTGGCCAATTATGTCTACATATCTGAGTTTTATTTCCTTATATTTAAAGAAAATAATGATGTCTTTGGAGGTTATTATGAAGACAGATTATTTTTTCAAGAATATGTGTTAAAAGTTTAAGCCTTATACTAGGCTATCTGAAAAAAGGAATCAATGATTCTGTTGTCATGGAGTTAACAGACTTAGTATTAGTTAATCAATAGACTGAGACCTAAATGATTATAATACAGAGAAGCCAATGACACATTCTATCATAACAGCTAATATTTTTAGTGCCGTGTAACATTCTAAGCACTCCACCTCTATTATCTTATATAATTTTCCATCAGTCCTGTGTAGTAGGTTTTACTGTCCCCACTGTTCAAGTGAGACAACCTCATCACAGAGAGTGAAGTCTGAAGAGGTCAGGAAAGTATGGAATAGTCATAAAGTCAATGTGAACTCAAACCAGCCTGAAACTATCCCTGGCCCTCTTAACCACCAGACAACGCTTCCTTGAGACTGAAGTCTAGACTTCTTAGAATGGTGTTAAAGGCTCCAGGCAAAAAGCCCCCACATGCTTTTCCGATCATATTTATAAATCACTCAGGCGGCTCTCACCACAGCCAAGCCAATTCCATCAAATATCCAACAAAAATGTTTTGCAAATCCTAAATCACCATCTCCATCTGAAAATCTTGCTTTCTACTACCAATTTGAGCATCCCAGTGGACACCTATCCCCAGATCCTCTGAAAAAAAATAGTAACAGCTCATGTCTATACCACTGACCCGACTCTTATGGCATGCTCTCCTTATGAGAATGGTTAATTTTTTGTATGGTTCTATCTTAATTCTTCTATCAGGTTGTAAGGAACCCCAGGGCAGTAACAACATCTTCCACTTCTTCATATTTTCCCAAGGGATGGCCTACCACCCTGAGCGGAAGTTCTCTCCGAATGTGTCTGGCTACTTCCATAACTGACTGTCCCCGTCATCATTGAGCTTTTAATGCCTCATGTAATATTTGCTATATAAATAGGCTCAAAGGATAATTGGTGAAAAAATGAATAAAAATAATAATATTTAGTAATATTTACAAGTTCTTATGACTATAAGTCTCCAAATTTTATTCAAAAATAGAGAATAACCCACTTTAAAATGTGCTTGAATAATAGCCTCTTTAAATGACAGCAGCATGAACATAGAAAACACAAATACATGCATTCACATAATTAGGGCATTGTCAGGGTCATTAGTACTATGCGTAGTTTCACTACCAAACATCATTTTATTTAACAGATTTTCAATTCCTGCTGAGGGGAAAAAATAATCAAAAATAGCTATTTAGTAAACATGGATTTTTACAATAGCAGGCAAATCCCAAAGACTGATCATATGACATCACAGTGGAAAGTATTGATGTTTAATAAAATACAGGAAAAACCTGTACCATCTACAACACCCCGGTTGCTTCACACCAAGACAGTTCTGGGCATCAAGGACCCACAGTCACCATGGCACGTGGAGGGCACGTTCTAGTCATTTCCCCCTCCTTGCCATGCCTTCGCCACTAAGACAAATATGCTGGGTTTTTACCGACAGGAGAGTAAGCACAGGAATACAGTAGAAAATTATAACATCATTATAATGCATTATGATAAGCCTGAGATGTTTTTAATTACCAACTGCTATGGGTTGAGTTGCATCCCTCCAAAATTCACGTATTGAAATCCTAACTTTCGGTATCATAGACTATGACTATATTTGGAGACAGAGTCTTTAGCGAGGTAATTCAGTTAAAATAAAGCTTTAGGCTGGGCCCTAATCCCAGACGACTGGTATCCTCATGAGAAGAGAAAATTAGGGCGCAGATGAGTGCAAAGATGACCAGGTGAAGACAGAGAGAGCAGATGGCATCTGCTCAGTAGAAGCGAAGGAGAGAGGCCCCAGAAGAAATCGAACTTGCAGACGCCTTGATCTCAAATGTCTAGCTTACAGAATTGTGAGAAAATCAATTTCTGTTGTCTAATCTATTCAGTCTGTGGTACTTTGTTACAGAAGACCTAGACCGCTAATTAATACACTAAGTCCCTTCTCATTTCTTAATTCATTAAAATCTAATTGAATGCTCAGAACAACCACATCTGGTAATATTTTTCCTGTTTTATGGCTGGGGCAATGGACACTTCAAAGACATTAAGTGATGCCTCCAATATCATCCACTGAGCCAGCACAGGGACACAGGACTCAGACTGGAAGTTTGTGTCCCCAAGTCCTGCTGACTTTCCACTCTCAGGTGCCCTGGTGACAGGACACCAGCAGTGTCCTCAACCATTTGTGGGACCTTCAGAGTTATTCATTTTTTAAACATCTGTGCTTTTTCATCTGTAAAATGAATGGGATTGAACTAAATTTCTAAGGGATGATTGGACTAAAGGTCTATCTAAATGCCTTCCTAGTTCTAAAAATTTAGCTTAAGTCATTGTTTCCAAACTTCTAAAGAAACCATCTCTGTAAACTCATTTAGAATTGAAAGGAAATTCAGTACTTTGGGAATCACTTACTGTTTTTCCCAGAGACATCTCTATCAAAAAACATACATACTTCAAAGTGATTTGAAATAGAATGAACTTAACTAATTTTAAAAAGTAGTGTTTATAGGGCTTGCATACCATTAGTTCATTTCTGTTTTTAAAGACTTCTGCATTCTGAGCTTTTAAGAATTGCACATTGCTTCATGAACAAACACAAGAATGATTGCAGTTTTTTTAAAGATTTTATTTATTTTTAGACAGGGAAATGGAGGGAGAGAGTTAGAGAAACATCAGTGTGTGGTTGCCTCTCACATGCCCCCCACTGGGAACCGGCCTGCAATCCAGGCATGTGCCCTGACTAGGAATCGAACTGGCGACCCTTTGGTTCACAGCCTATGCTCAGTCCACTGAGCTACACAAGCCAGGGCTGACTGTGGGTTTTTTTTTTTTTTTTACAGAAAATCTGAATGTAGGCTTAAAATCTTTAATGTATAATTGCATAATCTTGATTGAAAATAAAAAGCAGTTGTAGACCTCAGTTTCTAGGTCTGAGAAATGGAGCAAATGGCTCCCTGCCTGCCTGGAATGAAAGTTCAGCATCACATGAGAGAGAGTAACTGAAATGTCTTTGAACTCTTTGGAGGGAAGTTGCTGCATATATTCAACTGCAAGGTAATTATTAAAAACTCATAGTGTTAGGGCATCTTCAGTAACCTCCTCAATTTAAAAATATTAATTGAGTGCTTGATTTGCATGTGGTTGCTATCTATAATAAATGCACCTTTTGTTTGCCATGAAGAGAAAAATATATCATGGAAAATAATTTGTACCCTAACAGAGGATGGCAGTTTATATGACCGTAGGGGTCAGAGCTGTGAATCATCCCTTGTGTGCTTTATTACTAAGTAAAGGCAGTCTGCCCAAGGGGTAGAAAAAACCCTACAAACCACACACTCCGTCCAATCACATAAAGACAAATCAGCCTTCAGGCAAATCAAAGGTCTTCATTTAAAGCTGACCTGGATTTGGCACTCTGCCCATCTTCTCCAAATCCTTTAACAATGTACTTTCACAAACACTTAAAAACATGCATCCTAAAACAGCATACCCTTTGCAACATTATTTTTTGAGAGAAGTAACTTTTTAGCCCAGGAAAGATAAGCAATCACTTGGGAAAAGGGAAGTTCCTTTCTGAGTCTGCAGCATGTAAATCCAAGGCCAGTGGGTGGGATTGGGTTGTGCTCTGGTGCATAAATAGAGGCTGGGCTGAGCTGGCACACTAGGAAGCGTGGACACATCAAGGCCACCTGGCTCCACAGACAGGTGGGTGGGGAAAGCCAGGTAAGACTCCTGACAATCACGTTTGTCGGAAGGGCACTCACTGGAGTAAGTTCTGGCCTCTGATTACTGCATGAAAGTTAGTGTCCAAGGCAATGAAATGAGATTTGGAGAGGGAGTCAATGGCACTTGCACCAAACATTTACTGGGACCTTTCTTTGACCTGGGGTGGCAGAGTACTACGTTCCTGGGCTGGTGCAAGGTAATGCCTTCTCCCTTAAAAAAACAGATTTGAAAGTGGGTAAACCCTAGGTGTTTTCAAGTGTGGGAAAGGCTCAGTCTTCTGTCATGGTGCATTGTGCACCATCTAACGCTCTGCTTCTCTCCCACTGCCTAAAGCCAAGGCCTGCAGCTTTGGGAAACCTCAGCTCCAATTGCCCGCTGGCGATTGCAATTCAGAATTTTATTGCAGATCAGAAAACCAGTTCTCTTTGTCTGGTGTAAAGAGATTCCTGTTGCATCTTTACCTTCCTGGGATCAGATATAAGAGAAATCTGGGTGCTTTCCTGAAACATTTATGAGGAGGGACACCAAAACCTCCTGCAACTTTATTCCTCACTAAAGATAAGAAGACAGATAGAGTGAACAAGAAAAAGAGCTGGTTTCACTGTGTGTGTGTGTTTGTCTGTGTGTCCAAGTGGTCACTGGCTCCCACAGTTAGCCTCTGTTTTGAGATGGTGTGCAGGAAGTTTGCAGAGCAGTCTATTCATATGATGAAAACTCAATAGAGAGTCTCAGAGAGTCAGCCCGCAGCAGGATGTTTGTGCAGCAGGTTTATTAGGTGAAATGGAGGCATTCTGCCATAAAACACTTGTAAATATATCCATAGTTCCTGCCTGTAAGCTGTGGAGCTATCGCAAGGGCTCCTCAGGGCCACTTGAACAGCAGGAACTGTCAATGGATTAAATAGGTAAAATGGTTCATCGTCCGTTTACGGCTGTCTCCTTGATACCCATAGATGTTGTTGGCCTACGTAGAATACAAAATCAAATGCTCATAAATTCCAAGTATCTATTTGACATGATGTTTCTAAACTGGCTAATATTCAAACAGTACACTTATGCTCACGTAAAAATTCTTGGTATGACTAAATCTTATAAACAAGTCTTTGTTCTAAAAGGGCTGGGAATCGGCGACTTGCAGTACATGCGAGTCGTTTCTGCAGAGCTGGGATATGTCCATTGTTATTGGCATTTCCACATCCTTGTCAGTGGAGAAAATGGAGAAAATGTATCCTTGCTTTCTGTCTGTCTTTGTGTAAGACATTTCATGGTTACACGCTACCACTTGCACAATAATTGGCCAGTTTCAGGTATCATCTGGATGCAGTGATTTAGCAACTTTTTTTTTAATTAGCAAAGGTTCCCACTTAAGCTATCATATCATAAAAAACGTTCCCCTTTAAGAGTCCTAAGCCTCTAGAGTCCATCCTGCTTTTTTTTTTTTGGTGTAGTTTATTTGATTTAATTCCAAACCTACACCAATATAGGTATTAGAAGTGGATATTTCTTTTCAAGCAATTTCAGTCTTTGGCTTTACTAGAATCCCAAGTGTCCAGCTTTGCATGTTATGGTCCCCGGATAATGCAGCTCCCTGTGCTGGCTTGCTCTCTCCCTCACTCCCTCCAGATCTTCTCTTGTCACTCACTCTCCTGTCCACCAGCACCTGCTTCACCGCAGTGTGACTTTCCCTAAGAATTAACTGTAGAATCCTGGAAAAGACAAAAAAAAACTAACAAAGAGACACCCCCCAGGGCAGCTTTCTCTGTGTTCTGAGCCCCACAGAACACTTGTGTGCACACAGGTGCGTGCCCACAACCCCTACTTATACAGGCCCCATTGCGAGAGTCAGAGTTGATTCAGCAGAAGGAACTTGCACTGATACATTTCAATCAATTCAGAACTATATGTAGATTTTGAATAAACATTACACTTGGGGAAAGAATTGTGTGGGTGCGAGTTTTCAGTTAAGTAACAAAGTTGACAGATTTTCCATAAGGAATCCATTTACTCAGATCTTATACTTTAATGGCAATGTCTACAGAAGTTTGTACAATTAGGGTAACTGTTTCAGGACAGAAACATGGGGGCCAGCGCAGCCAAGGGACGAGATCCAGGAGCCTGAGTTCAGCCACAATCTCATAAACCTTTCTCTCTCTGAATTTCAGATTCTCCATCTATAAAATGAGACTTTGGAGAAGTTGGAAAAGATGAGGTACCTGATAAGGTACCTTCCAGTACTAAATGTTTGAAACATAAAATTAAAGTGCAGATTCCTTTAGGTATAAGAATATATACATCCCCTATTCTCTTAAAATATATCTATACCTATATTGTAGATTTCTATGGAGATGCACATCAGTATATTTATATCTGTATGGAGATAGAAAGAAGCAAACAAACAAAAAAGTCTTTCAGTCTGTATTTATAGGAAACTCAGTGGGAGGTCGTTTCTCCGCTCCAATTGCGTGTTCCCAATCTCAGCTACCCCTCACTTCCTGCTGTGATCCACAGTCTGAGGCCTGAGAAGACTGCTCATTCCCGTGCGTGTTACTGACGTTTTGCCGATTTGCTTTCCAGTTTCAGACTTACCATGGAGAAGATTTCAGTGCCCACGTTCTTACTCCTCGTGGCCCTCTCCTACACGCTGGCCAGAGATACCACAGTCAAACCCGGGGCTAAGAAGGACGCGAAGGTCCCCCAACCCAAACTGCCCCAGACCCTCTCCAGAGGTAGGAGCCAGTGTCTCAGCAGCTTCCCATGCCGCTTCGCTGGGAAGCTGAGCCTTAGGTGCTGAACAGATTTGTGTGTGTGTGTTCTTTCTAGAGTTATCAAAATGATAGAAGTATCATTATTTCTACTTTCTCTAGAGGTTTTCCTTCTTTAATATCAAGTGTGTATCCCAGTCATTATCATCACTTTTCAACAGCTTTGGGCCTGAAATTAAATAGCCTTAAACATACCGGTTCATTCTGTCTTAGGTTGGGGTGACCAACTCATCTGGACTCAGACATACGAAGAAGCGTTATACAAGTCCAAGACAAGGTAAAGATGACTGACCATTTCACAGCAATCTCAAAGCTCTCAAGCGCGCCATCTAGTGGTACTAGCTATAGAGGAAATCCTACTCAGTAAAAATGATCCAATCTCCCTTTTTCTTTTAAAGCAACAAACCCTTGATGATTATTCATCACTTGGACGAATGCCCACACAGCCAAGGTAATTTATTCTTCCCAATTATTTTCTTTATAGGCTTTTAGCTTAAGGGCCAAGGTTTGGATCACTCATCTTGATACCCTTAGCAACTAGCACCGTTGTATAAAAAATAATATTTCATGTAGTCAAAGAATATGTAAAGTAACTTCAAATAATGCCATGTTGTGTGTTAACCCCTCAACCATATTTTGAAAAAACAAGCTCTAGGATTCATCTTTGGCATTCTTCTTTTTTATCCCACATTCAAAACATCCACAAAGAACATTGGCTTTGCCTCCAAAATCCACGCTAAAGCCAGCGCCAGCTTCAGGACATGCAACCTGTGCTGCGTACTGCGCCCAGCACTTAGAAAGTTCTCATGCTTGGTTGACAGTTCTACAGTCACTGTCTTCAAGTTCTTAATAATTTTTTTAGCAAGGGGCCCCATATTTTTATGTTGCACGGGGCTCCGTATATTGTGTAGGTCCTGCCCAAATCCAACCCATCTCGTTGTCTCACCGCTGATGCCTGGATCCAACCCGAGATCTAGAATACTGTTAACAGCCACCTACCTGTCCTCCCATAGCCAGTTCCCCATACAGAAGCCCGAAGAAAGCTGTTAAACATAAACCAGATCCTAGCAGCCATGTGCTCTTGTGGCTGCTACTCGCAACTAAAGTTAAATCCAGATCTTGACCATGGCCTACAAGGCTGAACATGATCTGGCCTCGGCCCCTTCCTTTCTTACCACTCTCCTCTTGTTTACTGTCCACTCCATCGGGCCTGGCCTTTGTGCTTTGCCTCAAACATCTGCCTCGGGACTATGGCTCTTAGAGTCCCTGCCACCTAGTAGAACATACTCCCACAATCTTTGCATAGGTCACTCTCTCGCTGCAATGTCACCTCCTCAGAGAGATGTAACCTGACCACTCTATAGCTTTTAAACCCCTTGCATGGCTTTAATTTTCTTCAAAGTACACATCTCCAACTGAAATGTTGGAGTACACATCTCCAGCTGAGATGTGTATTGGTTTACTTCCTTATGATCTGCTTCTACACAGGCATTTGAGCTCCGTGAAGGAAGCACATCACTTGTTATTCACTGGTCTATTTCCAGGGCATAAAACAGTGCCTACCATAGAGTAGCCACTCAGAAATTAATTATAGGCTGAGTGGATGGTGGATGGATGAATGAGTGAATGGCAAGAAGCAAAAGCAGCCAATAGCCTAGTTAATACCACACTAAGCATTTGTTGAAAGGGCAAAGTTGAACACTGTATTGAAAATATAGTTCCACTTAAAACGTAGCAGAGAACAATGGTTTTAACTGGTGCTGAGAGGGATGCTTAATGATTTTTCTTTATATCATAGCTTTAAAGAAAGCATTTGCTGAAAATAAAGAAATCCAGAAACTGGCAGAGCAGTTTGTCCTCATCAATCTGGTTGTAAGTTTCCTTTTTTCCCTCATCAGTGACATTTCCCCGGGCTCATTATTCCACACGGATGAGTCAGCTTTTCCTATACCTCTTAACCACGTAGAGGGTGAGCTGGGTCTGTTCCAAACACTCGTCTCAGAGACTGAGAGAAGAAGGGCACTTTATTTTATTAATAATCTACCTTTCGGGTTAATGTTTTTATTTAGCCATGGATAACTTTAGAGTGCCCGAAAAGCGCCCTCCTGTGGTTAGGAGTTTCTCTGTTGCTGTAATAATTGGAAGGTTTTTGTAATTGGTCGATTACCTCCTGTGTCCTTCCTGCAGTCTGTCCTGGCTGCCCCTCACCCATTCCTAGTCCTCGTCTCCTCTGTCCCTGGAAGGGACAGCTCTCTGGCTGTCCACATCGAATCCTGCCACCGTGCTTTACCCTCCTGCCTTCCACTGACTTCCCATCGCCACCCCTTCTGATGTTGTTCAAAGCTTTCTGCCTCCCTCCATCAGCCCTCAAGCCGCGTCTCTCCCTCTCGTTCTCTTCACAGGTTGACAGGTTGGTTCCTCAAAGAGCATCCGCAGCAGTCGTTGTTCCTCACCTCCCTTCCACAGGCTGCTCTTCCTCTCCCTGTCCCGAAATATTAAGTGACTGGGTGAATCTCTATGTAACCTCCTCTCTTACTTTCACGGTGCATATTCTCCGTGGACAACATCAGCTTTATCTGTCTTTAATCAATGCCCACACACTGATGACTCCCACATCTTACCCAAACATGCCACAATTTCCAACTGGTGTAGCGACCATGTTCCAGGTATCCTATAATTAACTTAAATTCAACAGCTGAGTTTCTCAGCTTGGTCCAGGCTTTTCAAACTGCATTTCTCTCTCTGCTCTATTTCATCCCAAGTGTTATTCTAGATCGGACTCTGCTACTCACCTCCTGCAGTCTAGACCTGGGGTTCTAACTTTAAATATTTTGGTTATTGGTCACTTCCCTATGAACTGAGGGTCATCGGTTTTGTGTAAGACTTGTTCACTTTGCTTTGCTTACTGCACCATTACTAAATGGCTCCATGCCCACAAGATAAATTCCATCTAATTCCCCATGCCAGCAGGGTGATCACTTGGAAGACCAACTGGAATTATGGTACCTCCACTCAGATCCCTCCACTGTGAGCCGACCCCTGAAGCAGGTCTCCAGCATCTTCTGTACCCACCATCTCCTGGGTCCCCTCTGTTTCAGCCTTTTCCAAGCACTGGTCATATCAGAAAGTGCTATACACTCCCTCTACCTTGCCCAGTCTCTCCGCTCTGCCTGGTATGACCCCCTTTTCCATGTAACTGACTTCTTTCATTTTTTTCCAAGATTCCTCTTTAGCCACTTCATAAAGTCCAAGCAGCACTTGCGTATTGGGTTAAATGTCCTGCTCTGGGCACCAATGGCACCTGTGCATCCTCCATCATAACATTCCAGCCACTGGGTCCCCAGTACCCATTTCACCACCTGTGGTTCCCAATGGAGTGTGCATCAGTGAGAGATACGGGCTGTGTATTGCTAAATAATAACAACAAAAAAACCACCTCTAAATAAAAGTTTGAGAAACAAATAGATGAAAGCTCAAGATAACCCTGTGCATCTTTCTACAGAAGTGACTTTCTCCAAAAGTGACTTCTGCTTTTTCCATTAATCTATTTCCTCCTACTTTTTAAAAGACATTTTGCCAAACACAGTAACTCTTTCCGAATTCTCCTTCATGAATTTTTTCTGCTCTTTATCACATACATTCAGCTCTTTACCTCCTGCTCTGCCTCACATTTTGCACTAACTTATTATTTCATGCATATAACTTATCTCTATATTTATATTATCACTGTGGAAGCAATGTGCTTTACGGGATCTTGAGATGTGTAGCCCAATAATGGATGCATTTTTGTAGTAACAAGTTTGAGAATAATTAAAGAGTAAACAAACTAAAAGCTGGTTGTTTTTTTTTAATCTTAGTATGAAACGACAGACAAGCACCTCTCCCCGGACGGCCAGTACGTGCCCAGGATCATGTTTGTTGGTAAGCAGAAGTGACAGGGGCATGAAACACACTCAGACAGTGACACGAGTGTGGTCACGGCCCCTCCTCTGCCCGCCCCAACCCTCATCTGTCGCTCCGCCGTGGCCCCAGTGAATGGTTGAACAGTCTCTGAAGTTTCACAAGACATTTTCATTAGGAAAATGGGAGCTTCCAGCTATTTCCACAGATGCCAATTTTTTTCCTGTGCCAATTTTAACCTTTCATCTTCTGCCACACATACATCTGAGAAGAAATCACCCTGTTAACTGATTGATCACTTTCCTAAATACAGGGGTTGGCAAAAGTAGCTTAATAATAAGAAGAAATAGTACAATCACTAATAAATAATAATACAATTCTATTCCATGTACGCACAACTGTAAACCTACTTTTTGTCCATCCCTGTACATTCGGCCTGTGAACACTTATTTTTAATCAGGCAAACTATCAATTTGTGTGTTGGATGTTTTTTTCTTTGTTGATAATTATTTTAGGAAAGTTAAGCATATGAGTTCAAAATAGGTGGAGTTGCCACGCCCCTTCCTGCCCCTGGAACCTTTTCTGTGCAGTCCCTGCTGCTGGAGAGTTTTTCCTCTTCCTGTCTGTGACCTGTCACCCAGTGGGCTCCCCAGATGTGGCCGCCTTTCATGGACCGGCTGCAGCCCCCAAAACGCGTGCTTTTGTGGCACATGTTACTTTCAATAGCTGTATTTTCCTCCGTTATAATTTTATAATCATTAGGTAATTGTTTAATAAATATTTTCCCCCAGGGGAGTACAAGCTCCATGGCAGGCACTGTATGTGTCTCCGCTCACCACAGTGATATTTTCAGCCTGACCCTCTGGTGGGCCCACATAAATAGTTCTTAGATAACTGAGAAAATTAATTGAGTTTGCCTCTGACCAAAATCATGATTTAAAGAGAATCCATGATTAAATTCATCACATAAAACACGTAGCTCACCTGTGTAATTCCTCCAAGTTCATATTAAATGTACCAAAGAAGGGAGAGAAATCATGAAGGGAGAAAGGAAAAAGGCCGAACTACAGCTTTCTAGATTTGATGCAGTCAGGACTTAGAAAATGTAGAATCCTTGGAATTCGAAGAGACTTAATAGGTTCCAGGCCTACCTTGTGCATGAATTCTGTTCCCAGCACTCCCAGTGAAGGACGTTTTAACCCACAACCTTCGGTTGGTCCCCTCAGTCCCTAAGAACCAACTCCAACTCTGAGGCAGCTTGCTGTCCCGCTCAGTAGCTCTCCACGTCCCCTGCACATTAAAATCACCTGGAAGATTTTAAAAAACAAGCTGCCCAAGCCACACCTCAAACCAATTAAACAGAATGTCTGGGGTGGGAAGCAGGCACCGTATTTTATTTTAAAGCTCTCCACGTGATTCCATGGTGCAGGGTTATGAGCCAATGGCTGGGTGGTTAAAAGCCTTTATACTAATTCATTACCAACATCAGACCAGGTGTTGGCATCACCTGTACTAAGTCTTAAGTCTTTGCTGAGCAAAAGAACGTCTGCTTCTTGTAATTTATGTGGGTCCCGGTCCAGTATTCTGAAATGACAGAGCCCGACCATTCAAATACTGGGGACAGACGTTGCAAATGTACAGGTGCTTCTTCCCCCGTGTCCTCTGCACCTGGATTTGAGGACGTGTACCGTAGGCTCCTCAGTCGTCACCATTATCAAGGGAAGCTCTCTAGGCCCCTGTGCATCCCAGCGCTCCCTCCGTTTTGGATGTGCCTTATTTTAAAGATAACTTTTTGCCTCACTGATAATTTCAAGTTGATATGGAACATGATGAAGTAGATTTAAACAATGCACAAGGGGTGACTCATAAATTTCTTTTTTAAATAAGTAAAAAGGGAGGGGTACTACATGGTTACTTGGCTTTCACTGTCCTTAGGGCTTACCTTCTTTTACTTATTAAAATTAGATAGGCAGGTAGGTAGGTAGATAGATAGATATAGATATGACATTGGATGTGGGTTTCTAATTATCTAAGTTCCTCTTGGTAGCAACACATTTCAATCACAACATAATGATTTCAAAAGTATAAAATAACTCCTCAGTAGAGAATGCCAATGTTTTTGCCCAAAAGAAAAAGACCAGCCCAACAATATGCATTATCCTGTTTCCAGGTTGCTCCAGATAGGACAGCAGGGTTCCGAACCTTTTGCACAAATAGTGGGCACAGCTGCTGCCGGCTCCCAGCACCACCAGGGATCCTGACTGCTGCCGGGGGTGCTGACTGCCGGAGGCTGGTGCAGCGGCCCGGTGGGACTCAGCTGTGGTCGTTTCACAGGACGTGGGCAAATGCACGGGCTTTGTCCCGAAATAGCGCTACTGCAAACGTAGCACTGCATCCCCTTTTCCTCTTCCTTTGTAGATCCATCTCTGACAGTCCGAGCCGACATCACAGGAAGATACTCAAATCGCCTCTATGCTTATGAACCTTCGGACCTAGCTCTGCGTAAGTGCTACCTGAACATCTCTGTGGCTGCGGTGGTGGTGGGAGGGGCGGTGTGGGGTGGGGAAGAGGCCGCGTGACGATGACGGACACTGGGACTGCAGCTCGGGGAACCGAGGGAATCGGTTTGACTAAGTAGTCATTACTTTGACCCGATTCCTTAAAAAAATTTAACTGAAGTCGAATAATTTAAATTTGATATAGAATCTGTGACGATGGCATCTGCCTTTCAGGTTTTTCTCTCAGGCACACCAACGTACAAGTCCTTGTATCAGAGAATTGAGCACGAGTTGCAGTAATCTGCATGCTTTGTTAAATATTTTTTCCCCCAATAATGAAAGTGGAATACTTTAGTCTAGCTTGTGGACGTTGGATTCAAGTTCAGTTTTAAAAACCAGGAGGAAAGATGGCCCCAAATGGCTCCCAACAGTTGCCAAGGAACTCACTTCCCCAGAGAGAGAAAGGGGTGGGGGGGAGACTTAAGGGGGATGAGGCACCTCAATGAGAGACTGGACCTGCTGGGGACACTTCATTAGTCCTTCCGGGAGGAAAGTTGGATTTTGTCCTAGGAACCAACTCTGCTCAGTGACCCGTGGCTGCCTAGGACAGCACCCACTGCCTAATATGTTAGCCTTTAGCTACATGTAGCTGCTTAATAAATTTAAATTTCTCACACTTTAAGATTCAGTTCCTTAGCCACACTGATCACATTTCAAGTACTGAATGCAAAGGCACTGAGTATTTTCCATTATCACAGAAATTCTCATTGGGCAACACACAAAAATTCTCATCATTTTTGGAAGGATTTTGAGGCAGAGCCTGGGCAAAAAGATTACCACGGTCCATTAGCAACACCACAGTGGGTGCTAAGAGAATCAGGCGAGGCACATGCCAAGAACTGATCATTCTCAGGATAATAGCATATATCTTAATAAGACTTTGGACTCCTTCAAGCAGGTATCCTGCACAGGTAATATCATGGTATTGTGTAGAAAAGGCATTTAACAAATGTAAGAGAACTGATTGTAATAAAAGCCATTTCACATAATTTTAGAAAAAAATTACAAGATGACCAACTTCTCACCTTACGTTACAACAGCACCGTATTAAACAATAAATACAATACCCAAGTTTGGGGGCTTACTGTATCTATTAATATAATTTCTGGTCATGCCTTGACTCTGATAATTTTTTTGCCCATTAGTTCTCGACAACATGAAGAAAGCACTCAAGTTGCTGAAGACAGAATTGTAGAGAAAAAACAAAGTTTGCAAGTATGAGATCTGGAGCCAGAGGGGATTTCAGAAGGCTCTGGAGAAGGCGGGAGCCGGTGGACATGCTCATTAGCCTACAGTTGAATGTTACAAGTTACTTTTTTAAAAAATTTGGTTTCAAGTATACATGTATGAAAACAATATTGTGTACTACCATAGTGAGCCATACTTTTTAAAAAAATAAATCCTTTGGGGGTGTTAAACTGTTTTTTTCCAACTTGGTTTTTCACAGAAAAGCTATTGGCTTCATTCACCAAATAGAATCTTTTGAAACACAGAATGTTCAAAGAGGGGGCGAGGGCAAAATGAAAATTGTTCAAGCAGTGAAGACCAAAGACAAAGTTTTCTCAGCTCACTACAGTTTCTCAGTGGTGACGGAAGTAGGCATTAGTTTAATCAACAGTAGCATCAAACAGAATATACATTAGTGTGAAAAACACATAGAAAGGCATCCTAAGAAAATCAGCTACCTAAATGGAAGACATCCGGCAACTATAGCCAGAAACTCCTATGCACATACTTACTTTCGTAATTCAGTTTTCATCAGATTTTGCCCAATAAAGAGCTCTCAGAGAAGGCCTCTGGCACATAGCTGTCCCCTTTAGAAAACTAATTTTGTGAAGAGTTCATTCAAAGAACATCCGCACCCATGAATCCATGGTGAAGAAATCCTGAAGAGTGGCCTTATAGTACACTGGGTCTCTTGAGGTCTTAGAGTCCTGGCCTGGAATAAAGTCAGTTGAATTGTTCCCATTTTCATCATCAGAAAGGGAGAGCAAAGGACAGCGATATCCTGTATATGGAGTAAAGATCGGACGCCACTCTCCATCTTTGGAAAAGTTGAGAGGGTGTAGCATCAGATAGGGGAGCAGAGTTAGTTACTTTTATGCTATTCTGCTTGACAAAAGTTAGAACTGTATTAATTTCTTCACTACATAGTGAATTATCTCACACTCATTATTATGTGGAATTCTTTATTACCCAGCCCCATGGAATTATTTAGACCTTGTGTTACACGAACAGCTGTGGTGGTCTGCATAATGCTTTGCATATTAATTATTATTGCTTGTCTTGAATAGCTTTTTTAAAGACAGGTCCTTTTCTGAATAAAGTCTTTGCCATTATGTATTAATGTTTCCAGGGCAGATAATATTTTAAATACTTTTCTTGCTTATAGTACTCTCAAACAGCTATGCACTAATAGGTTCTGTAACTATATGGTTGATTTAATGACATACAAATCTTCAGCAAAAATGTCGACACAGGGATTGGGGTCCTTTCACATATGAGGTTACCTACTAGGTAATCTACAGGTGCTTAAAGAGGTAAATATTTCATTTAGAAAGTTTTCTGAGGGTTAATGAGAGAAAAAGAGTTTTCACTTGTGTAAAAATGTATTTTAAATGACAACTTAAAGTTATTCAGGTTTCATCTATAACACAAAAAATAATGTTTACTTTTCAATAGAAAAGGCTGATGTGAAATGAGATTAAGTCCTTAAAATTTACTGAATGACAAAATGTTATTTTTACAACACATGTAATTTTTAAAATGTAAATAAATCTTTGGGAAGTCAAATGTCAAGGTTGCAAGGAAAATGAATCACCCTTAGAAAAGTTTTAAACACGGAGCAAGTCATTGAAAAAAAGAAACCTGATTGAATTTGACTCAGTCTCAGCTTCTGAGAATCAGTCCTACAGAAACCAGTCACTCAAGCGAAACAGTTCTGGGAAGATGCCAATGGCAACATTATTAAAACAAACCAAAAATAATAAAACACTGAAAGCATCCAAATATAGAGATCACATACATTTATTAACACATAGTGCAGTATGTTGACATCTATAAATGTAATAAAAATTATGGTGAAACAAAAAGGATAAGTGAAGAATTTAAGATTGTTTTGCACTTTGCAACTACAGGAAATGTGGCCATATACAAGTCAGAAAGAACTGAAGATGCAAACATCAAAACTGTTGTTTTAGTCTCACGGAAATATTAGCAAGGTAGGCCCTATAGAATCCTTTAATCTCACAGTCTTTCCTATATGTTTATATAAATGTAAATGAAAGCATTCTGGACTACTTCTCTGAGTACAAAGGAGTGAAAGAATACAGAATAGCAATGCTGGTAACATAACAAGAATGTGAAATGGTGCCGCCATTATAGAAAAACAATGTAACTGTTTCTCACTTACATACAGAATGAGCATGCAATTCAGTAATTCCACTTCTGAGTAGGTTCCCAACATGAAAGCAAGGAAAGGGTATTTGTACACTCATGTTCACAGCCGTATTGTTCACAAGAGCCAGGAGGTGGGAGCAACCCAAATGTCCAGCGATGGATGAATGGATAAATAGAATGTACTGCATACATAGAATGGAATATTATTCAGCCTTTAAAAGGAAGGAAATTCTCACGTGTGTTACAACATGAGTGAGCCTTGGGGACATTACAGTAAGTAAACCAGTAACAAGAGACAAATACTCTATGATTCCAGTTACGTGTGGTACCTACTGCAGCCGAATCCACAGGCAGAAAGTAGACTGGTGGGGGCCAGGGTCTGAAGGGAGAGGGGGAATGGCGAGCAACTGTTGAACAGGTGTCGATTTTCAGTTCGGGAGGATGAAAGAGTTAGGGAAATGCATGGTGGGACAATGTGATTGTACTTAATGACACTGAATGACACACTTAAAAATGGTTACAATGGTACGCTGTTATGTATGCTTTTCCACATTAAGCTCAAAAGAACGAAACTTTCTTTAGTGCCTCAAGAACGAAGTGGACTTCAAAGTCCAAGTCGAGTCATCCTAACCTATTAAAAAGCCACTCGTCAAGCTGTGACATCATCTACCTGTAAAAAGCAAGATAGGAAAGTAAATAAAAGTTTGTTCACCCTCCAAGTGATATCAAAGTCCATTCTTCGACATATATTGTTAACTCAAAGGCAACTCCCTCACACCTTCATTTGGAAAATGAATTCCCAAAGCCGCTTTTCCCGAGAGCAGATGAGAAGAACCTGGCACATGCAGGTGGGCCCGATTCTCCCCCTTCCACTGTCTCAAGAGCTATTTCCATGACTACAATGGCCAGTTCCAACATTCCAGAACAACTTCAATGTGAAGAGCTCTGTCCTCTTTTCCTCTCTGCCTGTCTCTCACACTGGTGTCAGGTGCAGTCCCCACCCGCTGCCCCCCTAAAACAGTCTAGAAAACGTTCACCAAGTGGCACGTCTTGTAATTGTACTTGGCATAGAGTCAGGAGTAAAAAGTAACTGCCTGCCCCAAACACACAGAGTGCAGAACAGCTCTACACAAATCACCTCGCTTACCCCAGACTGGGCAACTTGGTCTTTCACATGACGATCATCTCCCATAAAACAATGAACATGTGGATGATCATGTCTGTATGATCACGATGCCTGAAAGCAGCTTTCTCCTATGAAATATTATGTAAAAATGTGATTTTAACTTTTCCATACCAGCTAAAAAGTAAAAAGTAAAGTCGTTTCATAATGTTGCTCAGTGCCTCTCAAAAGGATGAATAAACTTTAATAGGGTTCTCCAAGTATTTATGGGAAACACAGGAGGAGGATTTCGGTCCAAGGACGCTAAGAGCTAAACGCCACTCGTTTCCCCTCGTCTCTGAAAGGTCCTTCGGCAGCACGTAGCTCAGGCTGAACATGCACAACTGGTTTTCATCCCAAGCTCACTGCTGGTTAAAAGAGTATCTGGGATGAATTTATGCCACATGGGCTCAGATGATAGAATTTATCGTCTAACATTTCTCCTTTGTACTAGCATTATATTCTCTAAAACTTCACCTTTAATATCAAGGCTGACTGGGTGAATGTTCTACAAAATAATCTAAATGGAATATATAAACAGGGCATAAGAGAAATGTATAAAAGTAGTATAGTTTTTTTTTAACAAATGCTAGGTTTAGAAGAGAGGAGCTCCTTACAGCCATTTGTTGTCATTCAAAGACAGGCTGATCTAAAACTCACCCTCCTCGGACACCATGTGCCTGTGGTGGCCTTTTGTGCACACAGCAGTGGCCCTCCCGGGACCCTGACCTCAGCCTGACTCCCCCAGGGCTCGCGGGCGGCCACGTGGGATGCAGGACAGACCTGTGCAGAGAGAGGCCTTTCCAGCAGGCGTGTGATTCACGGTGCGAGGGGAGCTGCAACTCTGCACCCAGACACAAAGCTGGCAGGAGCCCTCTTAGAAGAAGCTGGGTGACCTACCACCTTTAAATCTCCCCGAGGGAACAGAGAGCTTAGATTAACTGATGACACTGCTCCAGGTGCTTAAAAGTGCATTTGTTTCTTGAATGGCTAACCACCTGCTATTATTACCCACCGTTATAGTTCTATAGTTTAGAGTCCTAAAATTGTGTATTTATTCTTACGTGTTTAGACTTCAGTTACCTTCAAAATATTCCCTATTTAATGCAAAACAGTTTTGGAACCTATCAATTTTGTTGTCTTTTAGTGCTTCTGCAATTTTGTTGTTTCACCTCTTCCCTGCTGGTAAAACATTTCCCTTTGAGGACTTTTTTCACATGGTGAAACAAACAAAGGTCACTTGGGGCAAAATGGGATGAAGAGGGAGGGTGGGGAATGGATGTCCCCTATTTTTGGTCAAAACTGCTGAATACTCAGCACAATGTGGGCAGGTACACTCATAAATAACCCATCATGAAATCGGCAAACAAGCCCTGGCTAGTGTAGCTCAGTGGACTGAGCATGGGCTGTGAACCAAGGAGTCGCAGGTTCGATTCCCAGTCAGGGCACATGCCTGGGCTGCAAGCCAAGTCCCTAATGAGGGCCACTTGAAAGGCAACCACACATTGATCCCTTTATCCCCCACCCCCAAAAAATAAATAAAATATTTAAATGAAGAAAAAAGGACCTAGCAGGAGAAGCCCGTACTACAAAGGGCCCACCTTCCAGAATATAACTCCATTTTTGGGGGGGTCCCCCATCATACACACATTCTCTCTCACAGACAAAACTCTAAAATTCTACAGATTTAACGATTTACTCTCTTTCTTGGTCTAAAACCCATCAGGACAATTGCCAATAAAATACCATAAATAGAAATGCAAGACAAGAAATGAGTAATTATCAGTAACAAGAAAGAACATATTTTCTCCACATAAACATGAATGACTGCTTTTTTAAAAACAATTCTCACTATGGAGAAGACAGTAAACTCAAACATTTTAAAAAAAGATTTTGGGGATGACTACCAGTAGATACTAGCTCTAAAAGTTCACATCTATAGCGGGATTATACAGCAAAGTAGCAATACTCAGTTCTAGATCAAAGAGAACCCAATGCAAAAAGAATTTCATTTCACTTAATTCATGTGTCAATTCTTGTATTACTTTCTTTTAATTCAAACACTCATACACAAAGAAAGGTTACCATCCTTTAATTTTTTAACATATATACAGAACCACATACTATTTCAAATTCAAATTATGGAAGGTCACATTCAAATATGCTTGGATTTGACAAGATGCTGTTATAATACTGAGAAAAATCATGAAAAAGGTATTTAACAATTTGCAAGATAATCAAATATCTTTTTGCTACATGGGCTGATGCATTAATAGTAACTTGTTTAAAATGCAGTCTTTTAGACTTCAAATTATTATAAAAGAATACCAGGATCACACAGATACACTTTCTGAATTACTCAGACTCATTCCACTTTGAAGGCTGAAAGCAAATGCTATATAACAGACCATCAAAGCAGTTCTCCTTTGCACTTACCTGTAAAAATAAAAAACTAAACCACGCTTTCCTAAACACAGAGCTACTTCTAGAATACATTAGTGTAATCATAAAGGACCACTAGAACTACATAACCACCTTTGTGTTAACTGTCACCATAATACGTACTTCCTAAAAAGACAAAGCAGTTGGGAACTTGATTTTCCATTCTGAACTTAACATACTAGAATCTCAAACTTACTGGCTTTAATAGACTTGAACTCTTTTTCCCCCTAGGAACTATCTACACAGCACGGCGCCACATACAGTGAGTTATTTCAGTGAGATGTAGATTTAGAATCACAGTAAGATCAACACAGTAGTGCCATACAAAGTTTTTCTGCAGGTAAAAATGCTAAGAAAGGCCACAGTGGACAGTGCCAGACACTGTGAACACAGTAGATTACAGGTACCACTGAGGTTCAGAGGAGACCACACGTTTCTATTGGTTTTGTTTCAGCAATGGAAAAAGAAAAACATTTAGAGAAACGTAAGAGTAAAAATATATAATTCCACTGTCAGTAACGTAATTCTCCAGATACCATTTTTTTAGAACAGGCAAATTAGTGTAACCTAAAGTTAGCTGTGAACAAGATCAGAATGTGAAATTTTTTGCGTGTTTTCCCATCAAAGGAATGCGCTAGGATTAGCGCGAGGATCTTTCTGGTTCCTGTATCTGTAGGTCAGCCAGACTCCCAGGATCTGGAATGAAAGGGGAAAAAAAAGAAGAAGAGAAAGTAAGCATTGTATTTGTTCATTTGGTTTATCGATAAAATAAACTAGAACCTCTGAAGCACTTAGCATTATCTGTTCAAAAAGGAAGACATTTTGCTTCTTAAAACACAGTCAAGTAACCCGAAAGAGAGGTCCTAAGAAAAATTATTATAAACACCGTGGTAGACTGACTATGGCCCTGTAAGGATATCCAGATCACAATCACCATAACCTGCCAATGTCACCTTACACAAAACAGGGACTCTACAGATGTGGCTGAGTTAAAGATGCAGGGGTTGGGAGGTTACGTTTGTGGGCTTGGTGATATCATCGCAAGGCTCCTTATATGATAGAGACAGGAAGGATAAAGTCAGAGATACAGCTGTAGAACAGGTGACGTGACGACTTCTAGAAGCAGCTGGAGGCAGAGTCGGGGACAGAAGATGCTACACTGCTGGCTTTAAAGATGGAGAAAGGGACCACAAGCTAAGGGGTGCGGGCCCCTCTAGAAGACAGAAAAGGCAAGGGAACACACTCTCTCCTACAGCCTGCAGGAGAAGCCTCTGTTTTAAGCTTCTGACTCCAGAAGTGTAAAATAGACGTGTGTTGCTTCAAGCTGCTACATTTGTGTTTATTTGATAGAACAGCAATAGGAAACTAACACAAACACTGAACCGTCCAAGTAGCTAAAATATCACAGATTTTGATAATTCAGAAACAAACTGGGCTCAGCAACAATTAGGTAATAAGAAAAATTCTATAGTAAATAAATTTTCTAACAGAGATCATAAAGATGTTTTAATTCCTATCTTTCCAAGGTTGATGGGGCTGGGGGCTTATAATTTTAGAAAATAAGTTGTTATTGTGCCATGTGCTCCCAGTTCCACTAAAGACTTAACCAATGTAACTTATTTTTTATTGAATTTATTAGGTAAAATTAGACAGTTTTAAGATCTACAGTTCTATAATACCTTATCTGTATATTGTGTATGTGTTCACCACCCCAAGTCTCCTTCCATCATCATTTACCCCCCTACTAATTATTTTTTTAATTGAGAAACATGTACCCTGGCTGGTGTGGCTCAGTGGATTGACCACTGGCCTTTGAACCAAAGGATCACCAGTTTGATCCCCAGTCACAAGCTTGGATTGTGGGCCAGGTCCCCAGTAGGGGGCATACAGGAGGCAAGTATACAATGATGTTTCTCTCCCTCCCTTCCCCTTTCTAAAAATAAATAAATAAGTTCTTTAAATATATATATATATTTTTTCAAAAAAAACTAAGAAATATGTTCATTCTGCTTCTGTTACCTCGAAGTTAATTTACTTAAAATAATAAAAAAAAAAACCTTTGAAAAGGTACACAATTCTAATGAAACAAATGAATTTCAAATTATATTTTCACTTTTGGTCTACGCCAACTTTTAATCCAAACTTTGTTTATTTGACTTCATAACTACTCATTAGTTCCTTACACTAGTTCTTGCAAATTATGCGAAGCCCCCAATTTTCCCGACTTACATAAGACAACTGCTGAGTCACTGTGTAACTCCCGACTGGCCACGTTTATAGCTACAACAGGTGAGGGCTTATGTAACTATGGTTTGTGAACTGAATCAAAAAAAAAAAAAAACTAAGCCCGATTTAAGGAAGTGGAGCCTGGTGTGGAGTCTACACGACCGGGGCAAAAACGGATTTACTGCAACACCCAGAGTCCTTCGCGACAGGCTGATCCAGGCGCTTCACAAATTCACCGCCCTCCGAACACCCCACGTGAGCCCCACGTGATAGGCACTCATCACCCTCGTCTTAGCAGTGAGGGGACGAGGCATGGAGAGGTTAAATACCCGGGGAGCAGTCACACAGGCCCCAAGAGGTGGAGCTGGGGTTCAAATCTGAAATCCGGGTTCTTAATTGCATTTGCGGTCTTAGGTGCCAATCTAATGTGTTACTTACTAGTCATTGCCATTCTCTGGCTGACATTTCACGTACATTTCAGCTCTGCTGGTTGTTAAACAATCCTGAGATACTTACACCCCCTACTGTCAAACAGCTGCTTCTCTGACACCCCCAACCTACCCACGCCTCGTTTCCCTGACCCGACGCCCCAGAAATGCTGCCACACAGGGGCCTCGGATCGGACACCTTCCCCGGCCCTGCAAACGCGCCGCTGGACCAGAAACGCGCCGCTGGACCAGAAATGCGCCGCTGGACCAGAAACGCGCTACACCAGTCGGCCAGGCCCGCGCTCAGCCAGCTCCTTCCCTTCTCACCCCAAAGCAGCTGACTCCGGGGCTCCAGCCAATCACATATTTTCTCTTCCTTGTTCTTTATTTCTTATCCCATAACAGCTTATAATTTTCTGCCCCACTTTGTAGTTTTCCGAAAGGAGACTGTCCTCTTTGTGAAGTATGACAGTTTGTACCACCTAGATTTTCTTCTTCAATCATTTTGGAACATACATAATCAAAATGAGAATGGCTTTCGAAGCATAAAAACCAAATGGATAAACCATAGAGGAAAACAAGCAATAAATTTATCTACATGAAAACTAAAATCTTCTATAAATTTTACTTTAAGGTTGTTAAAAAATTCAATAAATGCCAAAAATGAATGGGGCGTGGGGGGGAGGGAGGATGGAAGGAGGAAATAGAGACGACTGTACTTGAACAACAATAAAAAAAAAATACCAAGGAAATTAAAAGAATAAAAAAAGCCAAGTAAAGTGAGGAGTGAGAGGGAGAGGGAGAGGAGGGAATGGAGGAAATGAAAAGGGAGTGGAGAGCAGTCTTGTGTGCCTGGGTTCTCAGACCCTCTCGTGACCTCCGGCTGGGTCCTGACCTCTCCGCTGCAGGCCCTGAGACCGGCCCTGAGACTCTCCCTGGTACTCGCACACTAAATTCCATTTTTGCGAGCTCCTTCCTTTGGGTTTGTTACATGTGATCCAAAGGGCCTCTACCAAGACGAAAGTACATGGGCCATTCACAAAACATGAAATGCAAATGGCCAAAACACATAAGTACACTGTCAAATTCACTAGAACATTTTCAAAAGGACAAAATTGTAATACTATTTTTACCTATCAAACTGAACTAGTTTTTAAAATGAGAACATCTAGAATTAATGGTTGAATCGAAATTTGATAAAATCAAATTATCATGTCTATCATGATTAACTCCATGAAATAAAGTGCTCTCAGTAGAATTTATGAGTTAAAGAAAAAAATGTTCATTTTGATACATACTGTCAACTCTGATCCAGCAACGATGTCCGTGGCTATTGAAAGTTTAGTAGAAGAAATTAGCATTCCTCAAAAATTATCAAATAATATATACATGGTTTGGCTTACAGCATCATATCCTATATATAAATGTATTAATATAGTAAGTATATTAATACAGTATAAATGTCATATAGGCAAGATGTTCTATATGAATTTCTATAGAAAAGAAATGCCATATGGTTACCTGCATGTTGTAGGCTAGGGACTAAGGGGAGTAAGGGATGGGACTGGATGGCTAATTTTCGAATTGGACCTTTCTATACAGAGTGGGGCAACAGTAGGTGTGCAGCGTTTGTATGGAAAGTAATGCAATCATTAATAAGTAACACAAAAATAAACTCTCCCATACACCAGCAAACCTACCGTGCCACACCCTGTATATGTACATTATTATATATTAACACATATGTTAAATAACAATGTCCTACCTCTTCCAAAATCCAATTTAAAACTGCAATTTATGTCATCCCTTAAATCAAAAGGCTGTGGGTTTGATTCCCAGTCAGGGCATACACCTTAGGTTGCAGGTTCAGTCCCTAGTCAGGATGTGTGTGAGAGGCCACTAATCAATGTTTCTCTCTCACATCCATGTTTCTCTCCCAGTCTCTCTCCTCCTTCCCCCCTCTCTAAAAAAAAAAATCAATAAGCATGTCCTTGGGTGAGCATAAAAAAAATAAAAAGAATAGGAGACAGAGGCCAAAGGGATGGTTACCCGAAGGGAGAAGTAGGGGGATGAGTGAAAAAAGTGAAGGGAAATGTGGTCAGTAAAATTGTGAACAGTTAGCCTAGAGACAGATGATTACCAGAATTAGTGGGGTGATCGCATTGTCCGGTATAAATACATGAAATCACTATACAGTATACCTGAAACTACGACAACACTGTATACTAACAACTTAAATAAAAGTATAATTTATTATGAAACTCTAAAAACACAAGAGATCCTAGCAGTAACCGAATCTCATCTCTGTATTTCATTGGCTCATTCAATTTTATATAACTTCACGATCAAGCATTTCGCCCTGCATGACGTTCATGCCAGATCTATGTGGCCTCTGGTTTCAAGCCGGGGCTCCTCCTATGACAACACCGGTTCTCAATGAAAACATTCTTGATACATTTCAAGTTAAGTGACAAGCTGCGGTAAAATGCCATACACAACAGCATCCCTGAGAAAGGAAGGAGACAGAGTTATTTGCACATACCTCTGTAAAACTGAAGAAGAGGCCAATGCCCCCGACAAATCTCAAAACCTCCCCCGCGTAGCTTTCTATTATTGGCGCACATGGTGGGCAACCGGTGTCACTTTCCACACAACGCTGAATCAAGGAAAGAAAAAAGCTTTTATTTCAAAGTACATTTATAAAGAGCGGAGAACAACTGCACCCACATAAAAATTAATGTCTGGAGTATTTTACCCAGTCTGGGGCCTTGGTTATTCAGAGTGTCCAAAATTCTGCAGTGGCTCTCAACATTCCCACTCCCAGTGGCCCTGAATAACCAGCCTTGTGTGTGTGGCTGGGATTTTTGAGTGCTATGGGCAGTCACATGTATGTTTATGTTGTACTGGGTTAGAAACTATCTTAACGGAATGGGAACATTATCATGCTGGCCTTGATGCCACCATGGTGTGAGATGGCCACAGAGTTTGGACCTGACAGTAGCTTCTGGGAGCGCAGAGACACTGAGCAAGAAAACTAGACTTCAGTCCTATGATCACCAGGAGGTGAATTCTACCAATGACTGCTGAGCTTGGTAGAGCACCCTGAGCCTCAGGTGAGTTTGCAGCTGCAGCCACCTCCCTGGTTTCGTCTTGGTAAGACACTGAGCAGAGGACCCAGTTAAGCCACACCTAGATTTCTGACCCGTGGAAAACTAGATAATAAATGGGTGTTCTTGTGAGCCATTACATTTGTGATAATACATTACGCAGCAACCGAAAAATAATAATCCCACAAAAGAAACCTCACTGAGGACATATCCAGCTCAGGGCTCAGAGCAGTGGTAAGAGGAGTTTCCCCCAAAGATAAACATGTGTGCACTTCCTAAGAAAGCCAAACTCCAAGTCCATCCTCATGCAGATTCAGCCTCCATCTGGAGGGTCACAGGTCTGGCCTGGGATGAAAGGATGGCTCTCATTGGTCCTTTACTGGCTCAGCTCCCAAAAAGAAAGAGCAAGAAGTTGTGATGGGGAAGAAATGAGACAGAAAAAATACCAGTTTCAGATGTCCTCCACCCTGGGAATGTTTACTTTAAGAAGCCCAATTTAGCCCTGGCTGCTGTAGCTCAGTGGATTGAGCGCGGGCCTGGGAACCAAGCAACCACGGTTCAATTCCCAGTCAGGGCACATGCCTGGGTTGCAGGCCAGTTCTCTCCCTCTCTCCTTCCTTTCCCCTCTAAAGATAAATAAATAAAATCTTTAAAAAAAAAAAAAAAAAAGAAGCCCAATTTAGCATAAACCACCTACTACCCGGGTATGTTTCAAAACAGATATGTAGATGCCTCCTCTGATCTATCTCTGATGCTCATCTGCTCTGATTTCTCTTTCACAACTTGTTCTAGGAGGAACTAAATGGGAAGGAATTAAGGGGCTCAGAACCGAGAGCATCTGTGTTTGTCAGGACCTGGGAATATTCAGGACTCTCAGAAGTAGATGTCTGAATACCAGTGGTGCTGCAGTGTACACGGAATAAGCAAAGCATTTTGCCTCGTGCTCAACACAATTGAGCATGAGGAAGTCCATTTCTTCTACGTTCATCATTATTCACTTGTATATAATACATCTCCAAAAAAAATATTTTATACTTTGTACTTACAGCCAGACAGGTATCATTTTGGCTAGCAATTCGGAACCCACAGCAGTTTAAATTTCTCTGGATGTCATCACGAGCACTTGCTGTATTGTTCCAACCAACTTCCAGAAGCTGGCCCTAGGAAATCCATTTCACATAAACATCACGTGCGCCATCCCTGGACAAAGTGTATAAACTGGCAGCCTGCGATTCTTAATGCTGCATGTATCTAAAGTAAATACTCTTTGTAAGATCAGTAAAACTTTTCAAAGGGTTATCTCTCCGTGTGCAACAAAAATTAAAGCACTGTCTCTATCCCAAGAATAAAAAGTCTTAAATTTTGCATGCAATTTAAAAGCACCACCTACCTGGCTGAAAGGCATAATTGTCAGAGTGTAACAAGAAAAATTTTCCATTGCCCCAAGACTGTGACCCGTATGCTTCTACAAATAGGTTTTAAAAGATTAACTGCTAGAATGGAACCAAAAACATTCTAGAGTAACTATTTCATAGCATTATAGTGAGGAAAGACTGCTGAACATCTGTTAGCATTATCACTTTTTACCCAGTGTAGGCAAAATCCTATTTAAAAGATGCAAAAATACAGCAACAGATTTAGGGCTCCCATCAGTCCCACTAATACAATCAGGAACAAAAGATTTTAGCTACCTAGAGTAAATGACATTCCGCCTAATGCAATTGTTTTATATTCCAATTGTTCTCTCCCCTTTTTTCTACAGACACTATGTGGCATAAGGAAGTAGAATGAAAAAGTCTTTGCTTACCTGTTGCTCCTGGTTCAGGGCTAAACAAGCGCATGACACAGAAAACTGAACAATAAATACAAGTAAGAGAATGATCATGTACTGAGAATGACAGTTAAGGGTATTTCTCAACACTCTTAAAATAGCATAAAACATGGGTACAGTCAACTTTAGAATGCACTACCAGGAATTCACCCGGAAAATACAAAAAATGGCACTTAAGAGAAAATTCAACAAGAATACACATAATTATCATTTCGATAATTCACGGTAGCTGTAAATTCAGATAGAAAAATATTGACAACAATGATAAGTATTTAACTAAAAGCAGGGATGTTAGAATTTCATTGAGTAAAATAAAATTCTTACATATATAAAATAGGACATAAGAATAGGTAAACACACATATCACTGTGAAACTCTCACCCATATATTAACATGTTGGAAAGGGCAAAGAGGTTACTGAATCAGCTTAATATAACTGCACTTGCAAAATATAAACAGAACTACACTGAACCTGCAAAGACATTCTTCACGATGTGCAGAGTGGGAATGTGTGGTAAACGCATAATAACTTCACCTTAAGAATGTTCCTCATGTGGGCTGAACACATGCACACAGGGCTTGCTAGGAGTTTCTGATAATTTCCTCATGATAATTTTTAATTAGTTGTAGTTATTAAAGAGTAATCAATAAAAAGAACAAACTCAATGGGGGAAAAACCCCTTTTTGAAAAGGATACAAAGAAAAGCGACACCTGATGGTGCTTCATAGCCCCGATCAGCCCCACCAAGGCGATCAGGAACAAGAAGATGCCCACAGCAATGACCACGCTGACCACCCGCAGGCTGGAAATCAGCCCGAAGCCGATGCCCCATGCCGCGATGCCAATCAGCAACAGACTAACCAACTGCAAAAGCAAGCAAAAAGGGAGGGAAGAGAGAGGGGAAAGTGTCACTTTGATAAAATAACAAGAACATTTTTCAGGCACCTACTTAGTATTGTACAAATGACCGCTAATACTCAACCCTAGAATACGCAGATCTCAGGAGACAGCATTGTTCTAACAAATTATATCAATCCTCAGGCATGCTTTAAAAAAAAACCAACAATAACCTATACAATTATTAGGGAGCCTCAGAGGTCCTCTGGTTTATGCTAAGTCTAACTGAGTTCTACTTAAGTTTTTGAAATAACAGCATACATAAAACTTTGAGACTCCAATCTGACATCTCGGTCTACCATACTGATTTCTTCACGTGGAAATCACTTCCTTCCAAGTCCAGTTAGATGGTAACTTATTCTGTGATGCCTTCGTAGTCCCCAACAAACTGAACTAATTGTACCCTTCTCTGGGCAACTTGAGAGAGAGGACCCCCTCCCCCCATCTTTTCATTTATCTCCCCAGAACCTGGTCATTGGGAACAATAAAAAACTTCCCATGCAGTTGCTGCTGAAGTAAACTGTGTCAGGTGCCATTGTGTATGCCACCAGAATTCCCATACACTTGGCCCTTGAGCCTGGAGTAACACAGGTTTGAGCTGTGTGGGCCCACTTACATGCAGACTTTTCTCAGTACATACCTACAGTACTGTGAATGTATTTTCACTGGTATTTTCTTCATAGCATTTTCTTTCCTCTAGCTTACTTGAATACAGCATATAATACATATAACATACAAAATATGTGTTAATCGACTGTTTATGTTCTCAAGTAAGGCTTCTGGTCAACAGTAGGCTGTCACTAGTTGAGTTTTGGGGAGTTAAGCCCTGGCTGGTGTGGCTCAGTGGACTGAGTGCAGGCCTGTGAACCAAAAGGTCAGAGGTTCAATTTCCAGTCAGGGCATATGCCTGGGTTACCGGCCAGGTCCCCAGTAGGGGGCACGTGAGAGGCAACTACACGTTGATGTTTCTCTCCCTCTCTTTCTCCTTCCCTTCCCCTCTTTCTAATAATACATAAATAAAATCTTTTTTTAAAAGTTTTGGGGAGTTAAAAGTTACACATGTATTTTCATCTGAGCAGAGGGGCAGTACCCCAACCCCTGCACTGTGCAAGGACCTGCTGTACAGACAGAGACTGTTAGATTAGGATGAGGAGTGTATGAGATTTAGGTACTCAGAGTAAAAAAGGCATTCTGAATAAGAAATCATTTCATATTCTAATAACTTTATATATTTATAAAACTAAAGCAAGTGAAGAGATAGAATTGGTCATTACCTATAAAACTCAAAGTTACAATTTTTCTTTAAAATATCACTTAAAAATAGCATGCCATATAGAGATTATAATTAGCTGATAGAAAATATAGCTTAAACAGGTATGTGGGAGGGGTGGGGGTGGGGAGATAGGAAGGAGATAGTATCTTCAATTCAGTGAAGTCAACCATTTCCTGGAGCAAGCTGACAATATAATACCCACTTGGGAGAAATCAAAATGTATAAAATATATTTTTAGCACCATTTCAAGGCTGAATAACAGCTTCATTTCAAAATACAAAAAGCAAATCGCAATTCATTCCAGTGAATCTTTTATACTCAAATGTGTAATTTTTATACATGTAACCACAGGTTACTAAACACAAATTTCAAAAATGTCTTGGGATAAAAAACTTCATACCCATGTAAAGATACAAGTCCAACTACTAAGTAGTGACAAATCCTGCATCTATTTGTGTTTTTATTCGTTTATTATAAAGAAGCAAAACCCGAGAATGGGAGAAACTAGCCGTGGCATGACAGAACAAGGTCACAGAGTTATATGCACTTGGCGTTCTCCAGTGCCGGGTGCACACCCAGACCGCTTTTATTCTCAGAGGCACAGGGGAGGGAAAACTTCTCACCAATTGTGCACCCAGAACCCCGCCCAGTCCCTCCCGTTCTCTCACTGGCTGCTTATCAGCAGGGCCGCTGGCCTCTCCTTGGTATCATCTCACAGTCTTCTCACAACTTCGCACGACCTTGGACTAAGAAAAAGTCCTCTCTGCCCCATCACAAGCGAGCTTATTTCCGACCCTGTGGTATCCAAATATAATGTGTTTGCTTTCATGAGGTGCAGAAGGCAGAAGCCCGAAGGAGGTGCGAAGCAAGAAGGGTGAGATGCTGCAGGGAAGGGCCTCTCGTCTCGGCGGGAGGGAGGCTGGGCCGCGCCCCTCACTGCACTGCGGGCCGAGTACTAAGCAGGGCCACACTTCCACCACATCACAGTGACCTGCAGTGTCAGCCAGGGCCTCCAGGGAAACAGAAGCAATAGGGTATTTAGACGGAGAGAGATTTGGTTCAAGGACTTGGCTCATGCAATTGTGGGGACTAGCAAGTCTGAAATTTGTAGGGCGGGGTGGCAGGCTGGAGGTGAAGTTAGTATTTCTGATAGAGTCGCTGGACAGAATTCCTTCCTCCTTAGGGAACTTCCATCTTTGTTCTTAATGTTTCCATATTTCATACTGTGGATGAGGACCACAGTATAGAGGCTAACTGCTTTACTTAAAGTCAATTCAGTGTAAATGTTAATGACATCTTAAAAAAGACCCTCACAGCAACATTCAGACTAGCGTTTGAACAAATACCTGACTATCACATCCTAGACGGGTTGACAATGAAATTAACCAACACACATGCCAGCTTCACCCCCTGGATATGACCTCTGTTTATTAATTCAATTAAATTCAGGGGCAGGACTATATTGCTTTATTTGAGTCTTAGAGCCAAAAAGTTCTGAAGCGTGATGATATGATGCATAAAATTCTTCTAACTCTATAGCTTTAAAGAATCCTTTTGGGACTCATAACAAATCCTTACTAGATAATGAAATTCTTAGCATGAGTTAAATATCCATCAACAAACGGTTGGTATCCACTATGCACTAAGCCAAAGAGTAAATATCTGTTGACTAGAACAAAGGTCGGAAGCTTTCTCCACAAAGGGCCAGAGAGTTCCTATCTGGCCTTGCGGATCCCATGGCCTCTGCCACAACTACTCAATGGTGACAGGAAAACAGCAACAGAAAAAGTGCACTACAATGAGCAGGGCAGAGTTCCAGTAACCCCTCATTTAAAGACATGAAATTTAAATGTGTATAAATTTCATGTGTAATAAAAATATTCTTCCTTTGAATTTTTCCCCCGAATCATTTCAAAATGTAAAACCATTCTCAGTGGGCAGGCTTTTCAGTCATACTCAGTGGAGTGGATACAGCCCGTGGACTGTAGTCCGCTGACTCGTGTTCTACATGTTGGTGTAGAGAGAATGAGAACTTCAAAGTCCCTACAGACAACTGCTATGTCAGGGACTTTCTAAAGGTGGATCAGAGCAGAGGACAATCTTTCAAAATATGCAGGTAACTAAAATAGGCCAATGACTGCAAAAATGCAAGAAAGGAGCAAGTAGTAGGCTAAAAAAAAAGGACAAGTCATCACAAGTACCCTAACCCAGAGAGGCAAAAGGAGAGTAGAGAGACGCACAGAGAAGAGACGACAATGTAAAGCTGGCAGAAGCTGGTGTGGCCACAAGGCAAGGAATGCAAGCAGCCACCAGAAGGTAGAAGAGGCAGGAACAGATTCTCCCCCAGGGCCTTCTGAGGGGGCTGCAACCCCATTGCCACCTTGATTTTGAACTTCTGGTCTCCTAAACTGTGAGAATAAATGTCTGTTGTTTCTAAGCCACCACGTTTGTGGTAGGGTTGTCACCCCAGCCCTAGGAAACCAATACAGAACAATTCGCACATCTGGAGTCGGACAGGTCGGGAACCTCTGGCTGTCATGGAAAGCTGCCTGGTATTAACGTTTTACCACCAATGGCATCCCTACATGTACCTGGAGTGAAGCACTCGGGGATCCTGTCAGCACCCTCCTAGCAAAACGAATCCTTCATTTACGTGAGCAGAATTTCAGCAACACAAGAACACTATTCTCTGCTCCCACGCCTACCAACTTACAGGCTCACTCATGATGAGAATCTTTTCCCCTTTGAAAAACAATGTCTACTACTAAAAGGTGGGGGTTGGGGGCACTTCATCCCTTCTATGAGAAGTTTCAGGTCTCAGGCTGGGCTATTATTGAAAACACTACTAGAACATTCATAAATGTTTCTGTTACGAATTTTTTCCTAGGTAGGAAAAGAAAGAAGCTATACCCTTCTATACCTCTTGGTCAAGAGTATGTATTCCTCATCAAGTTCACTCTGCTGTGTCTCTAATACAATTTTCAGTCTATACTCATCACTGATACCAGGCACCCCTCCTCCAAAAACAGTGAAGACGTTACCAGTTTCCTGTTGTTGCTTTAACAAGTTACCACAAGCTTAGTGGCTTAAGACAACCCAAATTCCCTCGCAAATCTGGAGGCTAGAGTCCAACATGGAACATGGGTCTCACTAAGCGGAAATCATGGTATCTGTAAGCCTTAATTCCTTCTGGAAGCTCCAGGGGAGAATCCATTTCTTTGTTTTTCTGTAGCTTCCAGCAGCTACTTGCAGGCCTTGGCCTGCGACCCAGTATTCCATCTTCAAAGCCAGCAGACCCAGTATTCCATCTCCAAAGCCAGCAGCGTAGCATCTTCAAATCTCTCAGACTACAACTTGCTTCTCTAAGCAAACCTTTCTCTGCATAAACCCTCCTGAATGCCCTTTACAAGGTCCTTTGTGATTATCCAGGTCTCCCTCAGATAATCCAGAATAATCGATCTAGGACAAGATGCTTAATTCAATCATATCTGCAAAGTCTCTCTTGCTATGTGAAGTAACAAATTCATAGGTTCTAAGGATTGGGATATACAGCATTGTGGGCAAAGGGATATTATTCAGCCAGCCATAGAAGGTTCTGTGCACATGGGCAACTGAGTTACATAGAATCCTTCCTGCCACAAATACATTAAAACATTGAATACTACTGTAACATTTACATACACAGCTGAGCAAA